AGCATAGGTTCTCCAAATAATCTATGAGATATCTCATTAAGTTGATCTAGCCAACCTATAAAAAGTAGGTAGGATTGCAGCCGGCTATCTTTCCTGCCTTTGTGTTTGGTGAATTATCTTAAACCATTATGTCCTACTCTGACGATATCCGTCATATGATGGACGATACCTCAACATGGATTCATCGGGGTCGCAAGTTAGTGCGCTGAGGACCTATACGCATAAATATACAATCACGACTCCCAAGCAATCCCCATGCAGCTTCCGGTGAGACCAATTTACGAATCTCTTCCATTCGCCTCTTCAAACGAAATTGAAATTACTTCAACATGTATTTTTTAAGGAATTCGTGAAAAACCAGTTTTCTACATATCTACAAAGATTGATATATATTTTTTAAATAAATGGTCTATCTGATTTGGTCAATGTTGCAAACGAATATTTCCCACAAACTTGGTGTTCACATTTGATTACTTTAATGAGCCTGTTTAATTATTTGCTCTGTTTCATCTATTCTGCCACTTAGGTAATGTACTAAAAAATTCGTCAAGAATATGGTTGGCGTTTATGAGCCATTCATTTATATGGATCAATGATAGTGACACCATCTCGATTGCATTTAAATGCATGTTTTAAAGTTTTTCGGTTTCTATAGATTTTTATTTTAGCAACGCTCGAAGCCCTTAAAATTTGTTCTCCTTTCAGCATCATCAATTATAACTTTAATGTGGTACTCTGTTGAAAAAGATAACCTGTGACTAATCATGATTTGATATTGTGTTTATCATCACCTAATGCCTGATAATGTATTAGTCCACAAGGATTTTTTATTCACTTTTACTCTTTCATTGCCACTTATTTCACTTTAGCTCCAATTTCTCATCGGCTGATCAATTCAAGTGAATCATCTGAGCTAAGTGAACTCTATGGCCGATTGGTTCATCGGATTTTGCGGCTTCTCCTCCATGCCTCCTATGTGCATTCACGTCTTTCCGATTCCAGAAGTTCTACTGCTCTTAAAGACTCAGTCACACTGAATGTTATCCGAGGACTTCGAGATGCAATTTCTGGCTTGCAAGCCTCCCTAATGCAGGTGAGTATGGTTTTCGTAATGACTTCGCTGTCTCAGGTCAGTCAACTCTTTCTTCACTGGCACACTGCGGCTCCACAGTGGGATTAATTTTCATCTTAATTTACCTCCGTCTGATATCCAATACTATTTTTCGGCCCGCCTGTTTGTGCCATATTTCCATTGTTCTCTCCCAAACTTATGGCTGAAAAATATCAACAAGTCTCTTTTACTCGTCAGTTCAATACTTTCATCTTCTTCCTACATTAATGACACTAAATAACCTGTTTTTATTCGCAACACCGACAAACCAAAATTGGTGCTATTATTTATCATTTAGTATTCTATGAATGACTGATCTATTTTCGTTAATTTTAGTTGTGCAAAATATTGAAGTTGTTTGACCTTGTTTTCGCAACTCGGTCATATTGGTAGGAAGACTTAA